GATCTTCTGCCCAAAATATTGCTGTAATTAAAGTGTTCTGACAGCTTGATGGTTTTTAAATTAAAAATCTTGATAGAAACTTGAGACGTACTGTACTCCAAATGCACATTCCCTTAAATGGTTTGTCTGCCACTCACTGACTGCCCAAGCTGCTCCATCGAACATCAAACAACCATACTGGAAAGTTTCATGGTCTCCAACGGTCCTTTCGTTCTATTCTACAGATTTAATTTTAACATGTTCTGCATGATTTTCCCTAACCTTTTTATGATCCGGAATACTTTGTAATATTTGGATTTTAAACCGTGTTTGTGTGCAACTTTCTACATGTGCCTAAATTATCATCTTGACAGCCTACACAATGGAACACTTATTCCGTGTGCTTGTGCAGATTAACCTATGTGAATTGGTAGCTGGTATGTGTCAGTTTAAGTTTAACAATATTGCACAGAGGTGAATGTATGGAATGGACTTCCCATGGTATACAGTGGGGAGCCACTTGTATCAGCAGATTCATCTGTTGGATACGTGTCTGGAGAAAAGCAGAGGTATTGTTGGCTTTCCTGACTAGGCACTGAGACTGACCAGTGAGGAGATGGTGGTGTAATGGTGATATCACTGGACTAGAAATCCAGAACCCTAGACTAATGCTGTAATGACAAGGATTTGAATCCTACCGTTACAGGGAGTGAAAATCTGTGTTCGATAAACTCTGGAATTTAAAACTATCCATTCACAACAGTTATCAATTACCATTAAAATCTATCTTGGTCACTTACTGACCTTTTAGGGAAGGAAATCTGCTGTCCTTACCTGATCTGGCCTAACTGTGACTCCAGACCCCAGCAACTTGGTTGACTCTTAACCGTCCCCTGAAAAGGCCAGCAAGCCAATCACTTGGAGCAAACCACCACAAAATCTCAACAAAATGACATAACCAGAAGGACCACTTAACATCAATAGACAGTCCTGTCAACACTACAAAGTCATTATTATCAATATTTGGGGCTTATGCCAAAATTTCGAGAGTTGTTTCTCTTGACATAGTCATAATCATGGGATCATACCTTAAGAGACCAAATCAGCGTAGAGTACACTTTGTTCCACCAGCAGAACAGGCCCTCCACTGGTGGTGACACAGTGATATACAGTCAGTAAAGAGTTGCCCTGGGAGTCCTCAGCATTAACTGCACACACTTGGTATCGCATAGGTCAGGGGAAGGAAACCTCAGCTGATGAATCAGAACTCCTCCATGTTGAATTTCACTTGGGAAAAGTACTCAGGATGAGGGACTTCAATGTCCATTACAAAGTGTAGCTTTGCATAGTAGGAACAAGAGTGAAAAACCTACTAAACCTACTCTCACCAATTAACAGGTACATCTCCAGATGCACAATGAATGATTTCAGATGTTTGACCATGACAGATAGGAGTGATCAAGTCAGAATGGAAACAGTCTTGTTTTCACGTTGAAGATGCTCTCCATCTTGCTGTATATCACCGTGCTAAATGGGACATACTTGGAACAGATGTGGCAACTTAAAACTGGGTGTAGTGAGGTCCTGGGGTCCAACAGCAGCAACAAACTTTGAGCCACAATTGAGAACCTCATGACTCAGCACATCCTCCACTTGTTGCCATCAAGCCAGAAAATCAATACAGGTTCATTCAAGAGTGCAGGAGGCCTTGTCAGGACCAGAACCAGGCATGAGGTGTCAACCTGGTGAAACAACACATAGGATTACGTGTATGCAGAACATTAGAAGAAACATGCAATAGACTGGACAAAGTGATATTTCAATTAACGGATCAGGTGTAAGTTCTGTGATTTTTTCACATCCAGTGGTGGTGGATAATTAAGCAACTAACAGGAGCTGGAATCTTCTCAAATATCCGCATCCTCAATGAAGGGGGAATCCAGCTCGATAGTTGGAGATGAGGCTGAAGCATTTATAAGCATCTTCAGTCAGAAGTGCCACATGAATGATCCATCACAGTATCCTCCTGAGATTCCCAGTATTAAAGATGCCAGTCTTCAACCAATTTGATTCACTCCACGTCTTATCAAGACATGACTGAAGGCACTGGATGCTGCAAAGGCAGTGGACCCTGACAGCAATAATAGCAAAAATGTGCACTCCAGAGCTAGCTGCAACCTTGGCCAAGGTATTCCTGTACAGTACAGATCCACGTTGGCCCATTGCCTTATTTTTCTTTATTCATTCATGGGATGAGGGCATTGCTGGCTAGGCAGCATTTATTGCCTATCCCTAATTGCCCAGAGGCCAGTTAAGAGTCAAACACAGTGCTGTGGGTCTGGAGTCACATGTAAGCAGACCAGGAAAGGATGGCAGTTCCCTTCCCTAAAGGACGTTAGTGAACCAGATGGGTTTTTCCGACAATCGATAATGGATTCATGGTCATTAGATTCCTAATTCCAGATATGTTTATTGAATTCAAATTCCACCATCTGCCTTGGCAGGATTCAAACCCTGGTACCCAGAACATTATCTGGGTCTCTGGATTAACAGTCTAGCGATAATACCGCAAGGCCATCGCCTCCCCCATTACTGTCCCATACGGTGGATACAAGAGTGGGTCAGAGATAAAGAATTCAATTCCAATTAACTCCCGATCAGTCTCCCCCTTGGCCACTCATATCTGTGAGGCTCAGGTCAGCAGTGTGGTGGAATACTCTCCACCTGCCCGGCTGGGTGCAGTTTGAGCAACAGTCAAGACCATCCAACATCATCCAGGACAAAGGAGCCTTCTTAATTGGCACTCCACCTACCATTGATTCAGTGGCAACAGTGTGTTCCATCTACAGGATGCACTGCAGGAACTCACCAAAGTTCCATTGAAAGTACCCTCCAAGCCTGTGACTTCCACCATCTAGAAAGATGGCATGGGAGCACCTCCACCTGCAAGTTGCCATCCACGTCACTCACCATTCTGACTTGGGACTATATTACCCTTGCTTCATTGTCACTGGGTCAAAATCCTGGAACTCCTTTCCTAACAGCACTGGTGTTGTCCTAACCACCTCCCCCCCATCCAATGTCCATTTCTCATAAAATAATTTTAAAAGAAGATAGACTACGATGGCCTTATCTAGTGAAACTTCATATCTTATTTTAAATTGTCTATAAATACAATGGCTGCAAGAGCAGGGCAGAGGCTAAGACTACTGCAGCAAATAACTCCTCTCCTGATTCCCCAGAGCTGTCCATAAAGATCATCTCCAACAAGAGAGAATCTAACCATGTCCTTGCCATTCAGTAGTGTTACCATTACTGAATCCTCTCGCTCTTAACAACCTGGGGTTGTTATTGACCAGAAATTGAACTGAACTGGGCATATAACTACAACATTTAGAAGAATAGGTCAAAAGCTAGGAATCCTGCACTGAGGTACTCACAACCTGACTCTCCAAAGCTTGTCCACCATCTACAAGGTATAAGTCACGGGTGTGATGGAATACTCCCCACTTGTCTGGATGGGTGCAGCTCCAAAATCACTCCAAAAGCTTGACACCATCTAGGACAAAGCAGCCCACTTGTTTAGCACAACATCCACAAACATCCACTCTCTCCACCATTGACGCTCGGTAGCAACAGTGTGAAATATCTACAAGATGCAGTGCAGAAATTCGCCAGAACTCCTTAGACAGCACCTTCCAATCCCATGACCAATTCCATCTAGAAGGACAAGGACAGCAGATACATGGAAACACCACCACCTGCTAATTCCCCTCTGCACCGCACACCATCCTGACTTGGAAATATATTGCCATTCCTTCGTTGTTGCTGGGTCAAAATCCTGGAATTCCCTCCTTAATGATATTGAGAGTCTACCTACAGTAGACGGTCTGCAGTAGTTCAAGAAGACAGCTCACCATCACCACCTCAAGGGCAGCTGGGGACAGGCAATAAGTGCTGACCAACCAGCAACGCCCACATCTCTTGAGTGAATAAGAAAACAATTGTTGCCTCTTAGTTTTGAATGGCAAGGACAGACTAGATGGCCAAATTGTTACCTTTGAGGTAGAGAGGAAATTTTACTCATAACCTCCCATGGCTTTAGTTGTTGCTCAGTGACAATGTAGCCTTCCCGGGATCACACACTTGAGTGCAAGCCTCACTGCAGCAGCTTAAGCACAAAATCTTAGCTGACACCCTCAAGTTGTCCTAACCGAGGTGAGCCCTTTCAGATGAACTATTAAACCTCTTTGGTGCGTGTAACTAATGCCACTCCACTATTAGAAGAGAGTTCTCATCAAAGTTTCGGTCAAATATTTATCTTTCAGCAAACACCACAAAGATCACAGTAGTGTTTCTAGCTCCTTGTTGAGCAAGAACGAGCTTAGTGATTACATTTCAGAACTATTTCATTGCATGCAGATCATTTTGGGTTCTCCTGAGGATGTGGGAGACTTTATGTAAACACAAGTCTTTATGTCCTATAAGAAATGGCAAGAAGATAATTGTGTCCATACAGCTGTTAAGTGTCATAACTTGAGTTCATTGTCAACCCACTGCCATGAGTACAAATCCATCACCTGGATTAACCCATAATTGAGCACAATTTGGAAGGCTCATTCCACCATACTGTAATGATAGCTGCTATGAGAGTGAGAAAATAGATTTCATATGTACTTGCCCCACTAAATAGTTTGTAAGCTATGTAATACTCAATTTGTGAACCAAGTAAGAGCCTATTTAGGCAAAATAGTTCTTAAGTGGATAAAATAAATCTTGAATTGTGAATAGAAATTTAAACCAAACTTGTGTTCTAAAGTTCAAAATTTATCCTTATGATCTCTTTAAAGTAGTGTATGGTAGAAAGGTGAGCGCAATAGTGCTATTTTTGGTATAGACAGGCAAGCACAGGTCAGTCATGCTTGATGTAAATAGAGACGAGCAATAATATTGTGTTTGATAAACTTGATCGTAGCAACCTCATTGTCCTTAACTAAGACTTAATGATCTTTCTTTTCCAGGTATGGTTACCCGCAGTGAAGGCTAAAGGCTTGGAGATTGCTGGCACCTTTTCCCGACGGCAGGGTCACATTTACATGGAAATGAGCTTCACAAACAAGGCTTTACAGCACATGGTTGACTTTGCCATTCAGTTCAATAAGAATAGGTAAGAATCAAACATCAGAGAGTTATTGTAAAAATAGTCTATTTTCTTTCCTTCATTAGATTGTTTGGTTGTTTTTCTATTCCGTGACTGCCTAGGATGTTTATCTGCTGCAATGACCACACTCTTCGCATATTGTTTACAGCATCATTCTTCATACGTGGGCGAAAAGATTGATTTTTCAGCTATGTTCCATGTTGGATGTTACTAAGTCAGTCCTCAGCCATTGCTCCCATGCACACTTTCCAATAAAGACCACTGTATAGCCATCAATAATTGGGGATTTGGCAGACCTCTGCTCCCCCTAGTTTGGTGAACTGAACACAACTGCTGTTTCTGAAATTATGCCGTGGCCAAGATCAGCTAACAAGAAACGAGCCTGAAACCAAACCTCATACTTCTTGCCTCTATTCTACATTAGCTGCTATTGCCTATGTTCCAGTCATTTAAGTTAGGAATACTGCATTTGTCATGAACAACTATAGGTAGTTCTTTAATTCACATTGGAATGTCTTAAATTTGTAATAATTCGAAAGGCCAGAGGTGATTGAAAAGTGATTATCTTCAGCATAGTTGAAGTTAAGCAAGAGGAAGTTACAAAAATCTGCTTTGCTTCTTGCCTACTAATGGTTTCTTAGTTCATTTAATGTGAAACTATAATATATCGTCTTCATGGTACTTGATTGGATGGACTTGGATGACTGTAATTCTGTGCTGAGTTTGCTCACCTTCTCCAGTCCAAGAGCTTTACGATTAATACTCTTAATGTAGTAGAGTTAATGTCCTGGATTTTTAAAAATTCATTCATGGGATGTGTGTTGCTGGCCAGGCCGGCATTTGGTGCCCATTCTTAATTGCCCAGAAGGCAGTTACAAGTCCACCCCATTCCTTGAATCATACAGTACAGAAGAGGCACTTTGGCCCATTGAGACTGTATTGCCAAAAATATACTACTCCCTACACTTGTCCCACTTTCCCACATTAGGCCTATAGCTTTGAATGTTGTGGCATTTCAAGTGCTCAGCCAAGTTCTCTTTTAAAGGTTTTCCTCCTCTACCATGCTCAAAGGCAATGAATTCCACGACCCCAGTGGTATCTAGGGTTTTTTTTTGTGTCTAAAATCGACTAAAATTTTCACTTTTAAAATTTTACAGAGAATGAAATAAATGGGACATAGTCATGGAATTAACATGGAAGCTGAAGAAACAAACATTTCAAAAGTGTATTTTTAGATTTTTTTGTCATAATGGATAAACTTAATATCTCCAAGTAATTTTCATGGACCATGAAGCCTTTCAGTAGGTACATATTCAGTATGCCACTGAAACATCCAGTTACACCTCAGTCAATAAAGTAGAACATTTTCAAGTGTTTTTGCATTGAAACGATGGATAAAAGTACACATTCCTTTTGGTTCAGTAATACTTATTTGATTGTCGTTCACTGGAACTTAGCAAATAGTGTAACTGAAACTTTTGGATTTCTATGTTTAACTGCAATTGTGGACTCGAGAAATTACTGTCACTTTCAGACATGTAATGCTGAACACTGACAGGTTCAATGTCACTACCGCTACAAATTCCAAATCAGTGGAAGCCTGGAGTTCAATTCTAACACTTTGCAGTCAGTCTTACTGGAAGCCAAACATGCGGATGTCAGTTGAATCATTTATGTGGAGAGTGATTCAATCTTATCCCTTTCACCTTCCCAGCGGTTAACTTGATTACTGATATTCCCTGTTCTAAGAGCAAAAAAAAAAGCAACTTCTGCATGGTATTTGCAAGTTATCAGTGGATTATAAACGATACATTCAATTCATTTCTGGAATAAAAGGAGAAGAAATTCAACTTTGCCACTGTAGGTATTTAAGGGTGAATGACACTGTTGTTGTGACTTCAGGAGAGAGGTACAAGTGGCACAAAGCACACAATAAGTACAAATATGAACTGCAAGGGGAAGTAGTGGAGAGGAAAGTGAAATTGTCAAAGGATATGAACAGAATTGCTGCTTACATTAAAAGGCACCCCAAAAATGTTCTTCTGACATGTTTAAGTACAAGGTGTTAAGAGATCTAAAAACAAAATGCTGTGTGGACGCTAGGAATCTGAAATATGAAACAAAGTGCTGGAGAGATTCAGCAGGTCAGGGAGCATCTGTGGAGAAAAAGCAGAGTTATCATTCTGAGTCTAGTGTATGCATATTAAAGCTCATAGGATTGGAGTAGTGTACTGACATGGATAGAGAACTGGTTAGCAGATAGGAAACAAAGAGCAGAAATGAATGAGTCTTTACCTGCGTGGCTGGCAGTGACTCGTGAAGTACTACAAGGATCAGTGCTTGGACCTCAGCTATTCACAATATATATTAATAATTTAGATGTGAACTGTGAGGAGGATACAGTGTGATTTGGACAAATTGAGTGAGTGGGAAAGCTGCATGGCAGATGAAATATAATGTGGTTAAATGTGAAATTATCCACTTTGGTTGCAAGATCAGGAAGGCTGATTATTGTCTGAACAGCAGTAGATCAGAAAAGGGGGCGGAGCAGTGAGACGTGAGTGTCCTTGTCCATCAGCCCCTGATCGAAGGCATGCAGGTACAGCAGGAAGTGAAAAAGGTAAATGGTATGTTAAATTTCATAGTGAGAGAATTTAAGTACAGGAGCAAGGATATCTTGCTGCAGTTGTATAGTGCCTTGGTGAGACCACACCTGGAGTATTGTGTGCAGATTTTGTCTCCTTACCAAAGGAAGGCTATGAAGGGACTGTAATGAAGGTTTACCAGATTGATTCCTGGGCTGGCAGGACATTCTGTATGGAGAGAGACTGGATCAGTTAGGACCATATTCTCTGGAGTTCAGAAGAATGAGTGGGAGATCCCATAAACTTATAAAATTCTAATAGGACAAGACAGGCTAAATGCAGGAAGGATGTCCCTCAAATTTAGGGAGTCCAGACCAGAGGTTATAATCTAAGGATATGAATAGGACATTTAGGACTGAGATGAGGAGAAAATTCTTCACCCAGAGAGTGGTGAACCTGTGGAATTCTCTGCCACAGAGAGCAGATGAGGCCAAAACACTGTTTTTGCTAACAAGTTAGCTGTAGTTCTTAGGGCTAAAGCGATCAAGAGCATAACAAGGTCCTGAGCTGCATGATTAACAGTGATGATGTTGAATGGCAGCACAGGCTTGAAGGGCCTTACTCCTAAATTCTACGTTTCTATGTGTTTCTGTGACTTTTTGGACTGGCCCCAAGACATTATTGCTGTGTTTCTCTCCATAGATGCTGCCAGACCCGAGTTTCTCCAGCACTTTGTGTTAAGAAATGTGATAGGTTCTATTAGAGTAAAGAGGGATAACATATACTTAAAAACTCAAAGCAGGACTACTGTACTGTGGGAAGCTCTGTCCTCCCTTTTTAAGAAAGGATATTAGTGCAGTGAAAGCTGTTCGGAAAAGGTTGACTTAACTGATACCTGGAATGACTGGGTTGTTCTATGAAGAAAGATTGGACAGGCTGGGCTTGTTTCCACTGGAGTTTATAAGAACGAGGTGATTTGATTGAAGATCGTGAATGATCTTGGAAGGTAAACATGAAAGGGATGTTTCCTTTTGTTGATGAATCCAGAACCAGCAGCACTATTTAAAAATTAGGATTTTTGATTTTAGGACAGATGAGGGGAAATATTTTCTGACGGTTGTGTGAAATGTTCAAAATATATAGTTCCTCCAGCTATCGAGGTTGGATTTAAGTTGATGTCTTTGGAGCATTAGTCCAGGCTTCTGGAATACTGTCAGTAATATTACCACCATGTGACAGTAATGCTGCAGGTGGTGATGTAATTCAGTATAGAGCAGTGTGAGATGTTCCATTTTGGCAAAAGGGATAGCGAGAGGCAGTATAAACTTAATGGCTCACTTGGAAAATCATGCAGGGACACCCCCTTGACCTGTCCGTCCTCCCTGGACTGACCTATCCCCTCCCTAACTCCCAACCTACACTCACCTTTACTGGCTCTATCCCCACCTCTTTGACCTGTCTGTCTCCTCTCCACCTATCTTCTCCTCTATCCATCTTCTATCCGCCTCCCCCTCTCTCCCTATTTATTTCAGAACCCCTTTCCCCTCCCCCATTTCTGAAGAGGGGTCTAGGCCCAAAATGTCAGCTTTCCTGCTCCTCTGATGCTGCTTGGCCGGCTGTGTTCATCCGGCTCTACACCTTGTTATCTCAGGGACTGAAGGACCTGTGTTCATGTGTGTAAATCTTTGGAAATAGCAGGACATTTTAAGAGTGTTATCAGTAAAGCAAATGGAATCTTGAACTTTATAAGGAGAGGTATTAAATACATAGCCAGGAAATCTGTTTGAACGTTACTGAGCCAAGATGTTTCACCATTGAGAGGTTGCAGAGGAGATTTGGCACAATGGCTTCAGGTGAGGGATTTGAATTTATAAGGTTGGATTGGAGAAACTGAGCTTGTTCTCCATGGAGAATGAGGGAAGATTTGACCGTAGTGTACAAGAATAATACAGCTTTCAGTAAAGCAGATAAAAAAGAGCTTTGCCATTTGTTTTTGGTACGTGAACCGAGGAAACAGATTGAAGATTTTAGGCAAGAGCTAAAGAGGGAGATGAGGTAGAACTTTTCCTAAGGCAAGTGATGATAACCTGGAACTCTCTCTCCATGAGGATAGTGGAAGCAGAGACGATGAATGAATACAAAAGAAATTAGTTGACCATTTGTGAGAAATACACATGCAGGGCTAAGGGGGTAGAGTGGAGAATGGAACTGACTGGATGGGTCTACTGAGATCCAGCATGATTTTATTGGGCTAAATGGCCTGTCGTATAGTAATAGCTCTATGACATGGTTCACCACATAGGTTCATGTTAGCTGTAAGCAGAGTAGAAATGATGAACTGCTTGTTTGTGCAGATAGTGCATAAGCTTCCAGCACATGGCATAAAAGTATTACATTTATACTTTGCTGAGAGAGGCTGCA